TATTATTCAAGCCACCAAACTTTATTACAGTGTACACCCATAAATTGAAAGTGCATACATATTTAGAAATGAGATTTGTAAACCAGTATGAGCTACAAAAATTAAACTGTATTGACTATAGCATTAACAACTACAGAGGATAAAGTACTATTGCCGTCGGTAAATATAAATTTCTGCGTCGCGTGCAACAAAATAAATGCGGAACTTCTCCGCCCTTCAAAAAATATCTTAATAAGTATCCGCGATGATTATTTTATTGGAGGAAAATATCGAAATTTATTATTAAATTTATTGATTTGTCAATAGTAAATAATTCAAAGTCACTCCGTAGCCGGAGAGAGAGGCGGTAAAAAGTGCATTCCAACGTTCCCGTCCAGCTTTATTTAGTTAATTTATTTAAATAAATTATCATTTCAAATAAGTCTGATTGTTTATGAAAGCAGATGAATTATTTACTTCGGATTTTCCTTAAATTTCTCATTAGAATAAGACATTACTAATTCTTCTAGGTGATTGACCTCTGCAGTAAACACGTACGCAGTCCTGTACATTTGTCTGCTTGCTTTTTTTTTTTTTTTTACTTTGTTCTTTTTATTCTAAATTGCTAAATTATCACTTAGAATTGTGTTTTTAATTACATTTATGGATTTATAAACTAATTTTAAGGGTTGTTAACCGAATCAAATCGTTTTTTTTTATAGTCGGCACTTAATTTTATGACTCTAAAGTGAGAAATTTATGGAACGCATTCCGATTTTAAACTGAAAGATATATTAAAAAGTAATTTGTAAATGTATAAAAATATTTTAACTATGTTTTGTAAACAATGTTCAGGATAAGCTTTTGTCTTAAATAAATATTCATGCTTTTTATAAGTTATTTTTTTTATAAATTATTTTTAATATGTTAATTAATGGTATACATTATTTCTGTGTGATAGTATTTATTGATTGACGCATTCGCCTTCTACTTTTTTTGTTTGTAAATTTCGTACATTTTGTATGCCCCTTGTTTTTTATCTTTGATGCACGTCTTCCTCTAATCTATATATATGTGTTCTGGAATATTGTAACATTGTAGATCTGTTGTCTGGTAGTTGTTAGTCAGTAATATGTTACGACTGCAGAAGTATGCCTTACGTGTTGTTAGATCAAACCCCTCGCAGATATTAGTCGTTGATGTGTCGTGACCGTGAAAGTACGCCCCATGTATATTGGTATTAATGTTAAGGTCCTTAGTCGCTGTCGTAATTCTGTATATGTTCAAATTTCTGTTGGTTCTTTGTCGTATATACACGCAGAAGTATTAAGTTTATTAGCTCGGGATATAGATTTTTTTTTTATATGTCTAATGTCGATGAAATTCTCCTTGTCTTAATGTGTGTATAATATAATTTTAATTAATTTCTTAATTATATTTTTGGAAAAAAATGGTGTATTTTGGTAATCTTAAGTTTTATTGGTATCCTTTGTATGTGAGTTGTGTATAAATGCTCCCATTATTAGGCTCTAAGGGCAGATAATTTGTATTACTGTGTTGTATGTATGTGTAGAGCAGTGATTTCCAATGTGGGTGCTACCACCCCCTTGAGGTTGTAGAAGGCTCAACGGGATGTCAGAAGTCAAGGGGGACAAGAATTTATTTTGAAACAAACAAAACAAAATGTAAGAAATATATACGCTAAAAGGGAGTAGTAAGTTTGAAAAGTTTGGAAAGTAGTGTTTCTCACAGACCCGCAGAAAAATATTTGTCCATGCTGACGCAGTTGATTACGGGTGACATTTAAATAGTAATGTAGAGTTACCATACATGCTTTGTTATGTGTAGTAACTCAAGATAAGCATGTGTATATGTAATAAATAAGCATAATTCATAGTTGTATATATTACTGGTTCGCAATGAGAAAAAGGTCGAGAAATGCCGGCGTATTGGATACTGATTTTTTTTTTTAATAAACTTTTATTTGTAATTTCTGTATGACTTAAGTAAAGAACACTGAGTGGGAAGTAAAGACACAGTGTGCGGCATTAAGTGTTTTTTTTTATTTTTGCTAGTGCTTTCAACAAGCTTATGTTCATCATCATCAGGTGAACAAAACTTTAAACATGGAATATAATGTTCTAATGTAAGTGGAACACATATTATTTAAAATTAAAAACTGTTACGAATGTGCAATAAAGGGATACTTCCAAATGTGGAAAGATCTCTCCGTACAAAACAGATTAGGAACAAACTAAAATAGCTTGCGGAAGTCAAGCTCAAGCTTTATGTGGTGCATCTCCAGTTTATCAAAGTGTGTGATTCGTCTACACTTTATGATCTGTTGGGTAAAATACATAGTATATCAGCCAGTTCCTTGCAAGTACTAAAAAAGAAATTAGACAATAAACTCCAGTGGTTAGTATGTTTGGCTTACAAACAACAAAAGATGGTGGTCAAGACTCCATATTACAATTACACGGATGAAGTTGTAGTATAAACATTGTGTAGACTACCAAACAGTAATGCACTTCTTCACTAGGGCCGACTTGAGACTTTTTAGTCTCAGATAAGGACAAGAAATTTGTGGTGTAAAGAATAAGACTTTATCCTTGAGGCCAATGAGTTTCTTTCCCGACCACAATCTACACCAATGGTCATAGAGAAAAATGAGGAAAATCATTATCCTAACAGGTGTGATATCGGTCCTAACTGGGTGTCTTGACACTACTCTAATGTTATATCCCCAGATTGTTCTTTGAGCCAAAAACACGTAAGGCTGACTGGCCATTGCCACCATTTGTAAACAAGAGGTCCAGTAAATACACAAGGAACTTTTCTGGAAAGAGAAAAGTTTCTTGTGGTTCATTTCTTAGAGTTTCAGTTTTAGCGTTTGGTTTGTTTAACAAGAGGCCTCATCCTACCTATTTCTTAGAAAAGGCACTGGCTAAGTTTCTTTGCACACTGATCCCAGACTTGCCCTACGTTACTTCCTTGTCCTTGGTTGCTAAATCCACTATCACTTCAGGCATTGGTGCGATACAAACCAGTACATACAGCTTCTACAAACTGGACAAAGTATCCTTGTACCCTTCGGTGCCCACTTTCGAAGCTGTAATGCTTATCAATTCACTATTCCTCAAGAAGGGCTTTAGTGCTCAACAAATACTAGATATATATGATGTGCTGATCTTCATCACGGAGCACAACTATTTTTGTTTTAATGGGAATGTTTATTTACAGAAACAGGGAGTTCCTACGGGTTCTCCATTATCTGCTGTTCTAGCAGAACTGATCGCGAGAGAAATTGAATGCAGAACATTCAATTTCTCTCTAAGCCATCCACTACCTGCTATTGTATTTGTGTTATGTTGATGATATTCTCATAACACGGGAGAATACAGATGAGACATTTCTTATCTTAAAACAACAAATGTCCAGTGTATACCCCTCTATCAACTTCACTTGGGAGAAAGAGATTGATGCAGCAATAACATTCTTGGATTTGTGCATTCTGAAGGGGTTACTATTCTCAGTATTCCATAAATTTAATATGGTGCCTCGTATCATTCAGGCAGATGCTTTCCAACCTTTACGATATGTTGATGCTGATATCACTGCCCTTATTAGAAGAGCATTCTTATTATCTTCAATGCAAGCACTTGTAAACATTGAGTTAAACATCAGTGTGACAGTATGCATGGCTGATTTTTCACCTGCTAAGTTCACATGTGTGTAACATGGTTCGGAAATCTCTATTTCCAAGCACAACACTATACAACAAGAGGGAGGTGTCATTATTTCAACCACCATTCCCATACCTTTCCATATGCATTTGCCATATATTCAGGTAACATAACCTTCTCCTGCTCCTATCTCCACTAACGAATATGCGCAGACTCATCTGCAATGATCAGGATAAATTCTCTGCCTTTGAAAAATTGGGAATCTATGTTGTACTGTTGGAGAATCCTGTAACGGGGGTGAACACAAGATACATTGGCACCACGAAACGAATGCTTGCTGGCCACCTAGTCGAGCACCAGAATGATGTGGTGAAAGGAAAGCATACCACAGATCTTGCAAAAACCATGCTCGAACAGAACTACAACCCGTTAAGGGCTCAAACAATGCTACTCAGATGATGCAGCAATCGGAAACTCTTATTTATGTGGGAATCTCTCTTCACAACAACCTTGGAGCTATGCAACACTCCCATACTTGATCTGTTCAGTGTTTGAGTTGTGCTATATAAATTGTTAAATAGTGATGTACATTTGTTATCACACCTTTAACATGGGTCTATATCCACGCATGCGCTGCAAGACGTTACAACATCTAGAATAATCAAACTTTGTATCATGCTCATAATGGTTTTTTAATTTTAAATACGTGTTCCACTTACAATAGAACATTATATTCTATTTTTAAAGTTTCATTTGCATTATGATGATGAACATAAGTTTGTTGAATGCACTAGCAAAAATAAAAAACAGTTAATGCTGCTCTCGGTATCGATAATCTCGTGGAAATCTGTAAAAAGATTCAGTGTGGATTCCAGTTGTGAAACAACTATATCAACACAAAATAATGCATTGGATTGGTGGTGTAAGGCAATATTACAAAGGGGCAATCTACCAAGAGGGGAGGTACCATCCCTGGAAGGCACCTCCTCTTGGCAGAGTGCCCTTGCCTTTCTACGCGGAAACTGCTCCACTGTTTAGGTGTTAGACGCATGAAGAAAATCGGGCAGTGCCCATTAGCAAGATACAAACCCGTGACGGTGTTTTGGTTTTTATCTGCTCACCACCCGTGGGCTTACGAAATGATATATTCTCCCAAATATAAATCATAACTGTGTGAAAGAAACGTTAATGTGAGCTCGGATAATCCATTTTTATAAACCAATCTAAATGCTTTGTCATTAATAAATTGAAAGGATAATTTTTGAAATTTGTGACTGATAATTTTAAATTATTTTGATCTTCACAAAATAAAGTATAATAAAACTTATCTTTCAGTGATCCTCCTCTTTCCGAAGACGATCTTCCTTCCGGAGAGTGGGTTTGTCATAATTGCAAGGTCTTACCTTACAGAGTAAGTACAAATTTATGATTATGAATGGAAAATTGTTGATTATAATGATAATATTGTGTTCTCTGTATATTCTAATTATATAAAAACTACAACTGGAATATTTAATACAGTCTCTCCTCGACTTAGGGTGGGATTACGTTCCGAAAAATGCATTGTCGGCGAAAATAAAAGTAAATACTGTAAATAAAGAAAGACTGTAAGCAAGTATGTAACATTGCATATTATATCATGAAATGTACAGAAAAAAAAGGGAAGAAAGAATGAATAAAACAAAAGAAAAAGTACATAAATATATTATGCTAACATTACACACACAGTAGTCTTTTAAATATCGTAACATCCACCAGAAAAGTATCAATAAAATTTTATTATAAAAACTTTAAAAAAGTAATAATAAAGGAGATGGTGAATATTAATTACTGGATGAAGATGCTATGACAACAGGGCTGTCGATATCTTTTTCTGAAGTGTGCCTCCAGATTGGGGATGCTATAAGACATGAGCTACCCGAATTCAAACTCTTAACAGTTTTTGCACTTCCACTACACACACATTGGTCATTATACATGCAAAATATTGTACATTTAGTAGCATCTGTACCATAAACGTGTTGCTATTGTTAAGGAAGCTCCTTAAATGTAAATCCCATTGAAACTGCTTTTCTCGGAGCAGAAAAGTTCATGTGATAAGACTACTGCCGACATTTTGTTACACCCAAATGTGCCGACAAGATTAGTCGATGGTTTGGATGCCTACGTGAGTTGTAGGTTACAAATCACTCTGAGCATGCAAAAAAGCATTTGTTTCTCACGAGTGGATGCGACAACTTGCAAAAATCAATACATTAGATTTTCTGCCCTGCAGTCAAGACTTACCAAGGCCGTTAATAAGACACAAGTTTGTACAAACAAGGCAAACTCATGTATATTGTAGTTTCGAGTATATACAATGTAAATACTCTAGTATTTGGTATAGAATGCAATCTATTGGGTTGTTCGGAAAGTAAGTTCGTTTTTTTTACCACTAGACGGATTAGTGGTATTTTTCCCACCATTTTCGTTCTAAACCGTATTATCATTATATATTTTGACAGCTAGCATTTTATGGCTTATTTGTAAAAAATTTTGTTTGATTTCGTGCAATTGTTTATTTTTTGCGTCCCATCAAATATGGAAGATCGAAAGCAGCATCTTCGGCATATTTTGCTTTTTTATTACCAAAAAATAAAAATGCTGTTCAAGCAAGAAAAAAATCGTGTGACATGTATGGTGGAGATGTGTTGACAGAACGACAGTGCCAAAACTGGTTTACAAAATTTCGTTCTCGCAATTTCAGTATTGAAGATGCACCACGTTATGGATGGCCAATTGAAGCCAATGAAAACAAAATAAAAGTACCGATTGAAGCAAACTGCGGAATAACAACACGTGAAATCACTAAGAGATTAAATTTGTCAAATTGAACTGCTTATGAGTACTTGAAACAAATTGGTTTCGTTTCAAAGCTCGATATATGAATTCCACGAATTCTTAAAGAGAAATGCTCTATTTGGTGAGATTTTAAGGAAATTTTTTTTTTGGAGCTTTTACCGGAAAATTTAACAATTGATTCAAAAGTGTACTGCATTCGAGTAAACAAATTGCGTAATATCATCAAACAGAAAAAGCCGGCCAGAATTGATAAAAAAAACAGGTGTAGTGTTTTACCACAATAATGTCAAATTTCACACGAGTTTGGTAACTTGTCAGAAACTGTTATAACTCAGATGGGACGTGCTATCACACCAACCGTATTCGCCAGATCGAGCACACTCAGATTATTACTTGTTCCAGTCTATACAATTTTTTTTAACTGTAAGACATTTACTTGAAATGATGATGTCAAAAATCACTTGGATCGGTTTTTTGTAAGCAACGATCAAAACTTTTATGAATGTGAAATCGTGCTACTACCAGAAACGATGACAACAGGTATTTGACGAAAATGGTCAACTTATAATTCAATAAAATATTTATTTATTATAAGAATATTGCATTTTTTTCCACGGAAAAAAACGAACTTACTTTCCGAACAACCCAATATATCTATTATGGTATAGAATGCAATCTTATTTCACATTTGTCCTAGTTTAGGATGCTGATAATAGTTACCCAGCTTCTTGTGATCTTTATTTCTCTTGTTGACTTCAGACGATGAATGTATAGCTCAGAATCTAGATGATTCTGTAGCTTTTCTTTTTTAGATAGCACTGGGTTTTAAAAGTCTCTTAGACTTTTAAACAGGGCTGTGGAGTCGCGTAAAAATCTACCGACTCCGACTTTTCCTTACCATCCAACTCCGACTCCATTTCATATACATAACAAGTTGGTAAGTAAAAAGGGAGTCGGCAGATTTTTTGATGACTCCGACTCCAGCCAAAACTCCACGACTCCGACTCCGACTCCACAGCCCTGCTTTTAAAACCAGAGCAACACAAATGTTGGAAGTTTCATATGAAAGGAACACAATTAAGTGTAGTAGATGGTTGAATTCTCTAGTGTTTGTGTTCTTATGGCACAAGAATGAAGAGGTATTCAAGTGTTTTTTGCCTTTATCTTCAAATTATGTTTAGTTTTAAGCATATTTTTATCTTATATTTATTGTTATCAAGGTTATTGTTAGAAAGGTTGACTTCTCTAGCACTAACCTCTAATATTATATATTCAAATTGCACCATAAATAGCAAATCACCTTATTTGTTAATAAGTCAGCCTTATAAACACAAACATAAATGTTTTTAAGCTTCCTCAACGTTGGCATAAGTTCAAATTTGTTTTTCCTTCTTTGCGATTGACTTAAAAGTTGGTTGGAACAGTTTGGATTAGTAATACATCAGATTAATTATAACCAGTTTAATTTCAGAATATTTGCCGTAATAATCGACTAATCTTTAATTTACTTTGTTCTCCACAGGAAAATAATGCATTAGTGACGGCTACTCAGGGTCGACAAACAAATACCAAAACCGTATCAAAGTGCAATGCGGAAGGAGGAAAAGAGAGCACCACGACCGATCTTCCAGCGAAAGCAAAAGAAAATAAAGAAAGTATTAGCAATCCTTTGTACAGTTTAGTAAAAGCTGCCGCTGCCATGAATCCAAAGCAATTCCAGCTGCCAAATGAACTTACCTGCACAACACAACTACCTGGTAAGTTATTTTAGTTGCATTTTAACAAACGTAAACGTAAATTAGGTTTATTTTTGCTCGCTTTCCTTTTTTAAATTCTATTCTGTCAAACCTGTTTGTAAGTCCTTTTGTTTGAGAAGCCACACTCGACCAGTAGCCATTTATTTAATTAAGAATGTGCTTTCGGGCTTACTATCTGCTTCAATCCCTTATTGATTTTGTCTATACTCTTTTGTTAGAAGAGCATGTGGGTTAATTTTATCTTTGTCTTTGTCATCCGTGGTTAATGGAACAAATGAAGAAGATGAAGATAGATAAAAGGAAAGCAACACAACGTTGTCAGTGAAGTTAAGAACAACTTGAAAAGATTTCTGAGCAGCCAGCAAGTCTGAGAAAATGCAGAAATGCCTCAATATGTGAAGTAATTAAATAAACATGCACCTTTTCCTGTCTTAGCAGTTTTTACACCCAAAATTTCTTTCTTAGTAATGGTAGTTATTTGAGTTACACGATAAATTTATACAGTGTCTTCCAAAAAGAATGCTACCATTTCAAATTACTGTAATTAGGTTAATTATTATCCAAGAAGTACACAACATACACCAATTGATAGACTAACCGTTCGAGTTTCGTCTCCCTTCAGCGTCCAAACATCCTTTCTTCTACTACTTCTAGGAAGTGTCGTAAACAAAACAGCAACTCTACAAGAGAAGGTGATTTGTGTTATGTAGTTTGCAACAGCATTGTTCAATGTGAGTAATTGTGCTACTCCATAGTTGTATTTTGCAGCTGAATTGTGGTTGCCACAGGAGGAGTGACAATGGATATGCCGTTGCAAGCGTAGGAAGAATTTGAGTATTGGTTGGACGTGTGCTGTGTGAAACAAGGTGTGCGCGTCAAGAAATTATAATTGGAAAATTAGAAGAAAACGTGGACAGTTTTCTAATGTTTTAATTAAGTTATGAGGATCTTGTACAATAATTAACATAATTATAATAATTTAAAATAGTCAAATTCGTTTGGAAGAGCCTGTATTTTAAGGATAAGGAAAACAATTCTGACCTCCCTTTTTTCCTTCTTCAAATTAACAGATAAACTACTATTGATTATCTATTCATCGTTATTTTGAAGACCTGACTTTTTCTTACAACTTATTTTTAAATATAATTTCAAGGTTATTCTTTCATTATATTTAATAGAAACAATTTCATTGTTTGAACTTGCTTTCGATTTGTGTAAGGCTTCTAGAGCTTCAGATTTTAATTATTTAAAAATCGCCATCTCAGATAAAGTGATTAAAGATGATATTTTATTAAAATTTATCCAACATGAAAGATTGAATTACTTACGAACTAATTACAGGATCAAGCAAAAGACCGAGACCAAGGGAAGGATACAGATCCAATAAAAAGTTGGCACATGAATTGGATAATGGCATAGTGCCTTTGCCTGCCAGACTGTGTTTCCAGTGCCGAAAGTAAGTTATAATTAGAAATTGCTAAGTAATGGGAAAAAAAATGAAATTTTTAATGTACGACGTAGTTATAATTAGATTTTTTAAGTGTAATATTTAGCAGATTAGTTCATAAATTAATTAATTAATAAAGTAACTTAGTTCGGATAGCCTGTACTTTAATAAAAAGGATGCTTTTGGCCAAAAGTTTGATCATCTGCATCATGCAACAGCTCAGTTAACATATCAGAATGGCATGGAGCATATTTGACATTAAGAATATAATACATATAAATAGAAATTCTTGTCTTAGTGACACTTAAATTATTGAAAATAATTATAAACAAATGGTACTAAGCTTAGAATATTTCTTATGTTAACTTGTCCTCATTTTCAGGCTTGTACTTGATCACTGTTAAGCATTGTTGGTTGTGTCTTGACTGAGGTTTTGAAAAATGTTTTTCTGCATCCACACACCTGGCTATGGGAGATGACTCGTGAACGCACCTGTACGAAAACACAGTAAGATTGCTTGCAATGACATCCGCATTCTAAGCATTTAGGATTTTATTACAGTTTGACTCTCGAAAACCGTCCAAAATTATGACTGTTTTGATGATGCTTAGCGAGTTTAAAAGTTGCCAAACTGGATCTCCAGGTCGAAGAATTGTGCAGAATAAACCCGATAGCTGCGTTTGATAATCCTGAGTGTAGACTTGTTTAGGGTCAAGTCTAAACCATAGCTCTGCATCTCATTTTTGAAAGTGATCTGTTGTATCTGAAAATTGTTGCAATCAGCTTCATATCAGATACGATAAGAGGTACAAACAGTTTGCATTGTAATAAACATGCAGAAACAAGCACTGTACAAAACAGGGTCTGACACACTGCTTAGCAGACATTTCTTACACTCACAGTTAGTCCAAATTCTGTATTTCTGTTTCTACAGATACCTCGCTACAGAGGAATTCGGTTATTTATTTGGGGAATCCGTTATATTGTTCTGTAAACTGTGTTTTGTGAAACAACTAATTGCTCAGTGTGGAATATTACAGTTGGACTGTGGATCAATATTCTAAGTAAATTATTTTATATTGTAGGAAACACTTTGTCCAGGCATTGTCTGATTTTTTTTTTAAATTACTTACATTACCAAACAACAAATACTTTTATAAGATGCATATATAAAGTGTCGGCTGTTTCTCTGTCAAGTTCAACCTAACATTATCACAATATGCATAAAATTAAGAAACGTGGTCCATAATATTAACATGTGATATAAATTATTGGATAAATTTTTTCAATAATAGTGTGTATTTGTTACTATATGTTACAAAAATTAATAGAAAGACACTTCTAGGAGTTGTCGAAAAGCTCCGCTCATCCAGTGTGACTACTGTCCCTTGCTTTTTCATGCCGACTGCCTTGATCCGCCACTCACAACACTGCCAACTGGACGATGGATGTGTCCTAATCATCCGGAACATATTTTAGTACGTTACCTTAAACACTTTGTTTACTAACATTTCGTTCCTTTTAAATTATAATTATCTTGTTTATGCAAATGAAATGTACTTAGCAAATCTGTATTATTTAGGATCAAAGGCTCTTAACATCAGTAAGTTTAACGGAACGAGTCAAGTTATGGGATAAATACTCAGGTCCATTGTCACAAGATGCTGTAAAAATAGAGTTCCTAAAGAAAATTCATAGAAAAAATCCTCCCTTTAGGTATAAAATGAAAGTGCAAACAAGGAAGAAGATTCAAGTGAGTTTGTTTCTGCAAAATTCTCTATTATATTTTATTTTATTTTCTCTATATATCTATTATATTTTATATTATATTTTACAAAAATAAAATATAGGTACCGAATGCAATAAAAGAACAGTATAAATATCCTCCTCCGTTACTGCCTAGGGTAACCGAAGCTCCATTTAAACTGGGAGAAAATAACTCGTTAACGACTACGGCAAATACAGAAGTCACACCAGAAGAGCAGGACGAAGTAATAATAAAATTTCTTAGATGATAATATAATTTCTAAGTAATTTATTGTTTTGCTTAAGTGAAATTTCATTTCAGTGGTTATCCAGCGTGGTAGCTTTGCAAGTCAGTATGGCGAAATATCTTGTACAAAAACAGTTAAATGCAAATAAAACTTCTGAAATGCAGAAGGCCGAAGCAAAAGCGAGCGAAACTTCATCGTCTACAGTTTCGGAAAGCAAAACGGAATCGAATAAGCCAGTCGTTAATGGTGGAATACTCCCGGAGTGCGATCACACTCAAAAAACTGTCAAGTCGAATAAATTAACTTCCTTGCTCAATCATACAGTGTGCGATAACATGCCAAATGGTGAATTAGAAGAGAATGAACTTCAAAAAATTAAAGTCGAACCAGTAGTTTCTGTAGGAAATAGGACAGAATGTGTAAGTAATTCCATTGTGAATAAAAATAACAATAGTGTTACTACAACTAGTGTTCAAACAAGTGCTTCAAGTTCGGTAGTGTCGACGCAGGTTCAGATAAGGCCGGCAGTCACACAAGCGAAGACAGTTGTCGGAAACAGCACCAATAAACAGAACAATATCACGATGGTGACGCGAATGGTGAGAACTACCACTCCGGTAACTAGACTAAACGTGTCGGGGGCTTCTACTCAACAGAACCAGTTTACGTTTAACGTAGGCTCTTCTCCAGTATTACAATGTAGGCAACCTTGTTCTAGCCACATAGTCTGTTCTACGTCGGGAGGAACGACGATACGATCTTCGTCGCCGGTATCTGTGTCGAATTTATGCCGTTCCGTAGCTGGTGCAAATAGTAAAGTAACAATAGTTCAGAGTCCTCATAATATATCTGGTCCCAGAGTTGTCACGTTACAAAATGCAGGTAAATTGGCATTTTAAGTACTTAATTTTGAGTTGTTTTTGCCACAAATTGTAAATTCGATAATTGCAAATATTTGAATTGAGAACCTTTCTGTTTGGATAGGAAAAACCGGATGCACAAATGCCATTCTGCCAACCAAAGTTAATGTAACGTCTGCTTTGAGTACGTCTCCCGCCATACTAAATCTGAATAGTACTTTACAAGCCTGCATAGAAGGTGTCGGAGGTAAGTTTAGTATTCTAATTAACTAATATAAATTTAAATGAAAAAGTTTAAAACAATTTTCTTTTCTTATTACAGAAGTAGAACTTAGTAAGTTAGACGAAAGGTTAATTCGGATATTAGCATGGCAGAGACTTCAAGAGTTACTCTTACCTAAAAATTCTGTAGTGCAAGGATCAAAAAAGGGTCTGAATGGAATCGTTTCATCAAGTACGTTCTTTATTAAAGATTATTTAATTTGATTAATTCATTTTAATGTGGTAAATTATATTTATTTGTATGTTTATGTAGACGCTACAGAGGTAAGAGCTAGGGCAGTGATGTGCTCGCTAACGGGAAAAGGTCCAACAGTTCCGATGCCTTATAGAACTTTAACAGTTGGAAAAGGTAAGCTGGCTGACTACAGAAGCAAAAGCTGTATTATCTGTAACGCAACTGTAATCGCACAACTGTAATTGGTTCTGGTTTAATTTAATTTTCTTTGAGTATATACAAAGGTCATTTGCCGATTGCCTAACCTTTCGCATTTTCAATTTAAGAAATTAATTTAAGTACAAGGAATGCTCAATAGAAAAGCAATATCATAGTAATTTTGCCACAAAAAACTTCCAAGTCTGAGTTAATTAATATAACTGCAAATGGCAACATTGTTGATATGCAAGAACAAAAGATAACAGACCTCTCCAGCAGTGCATAAAGGAGAGCAATATAGTATTATCTGATTTTGACAAAAAAGAATGTAAAACTGAATGTCATCCATCAGCACATGTAGGTATGGTATGGAGACACTGTACAAGTAGAGTTTCAGGTTCAAAAATGGCTAGCTCTAAGAAAGATTCTCAACAGCTGGGACTGAAACAAACACAGTAGAAGATTTGTGCAGAAGTTTTTTATGTCAAAATTATTACAATATTGCGCCCCTTCCTGAATCTTAATGACGACACCTTATTGTCATAAGAATTCAGATTCAAATCCTATCTGGGTCCCTAATTTATTAGTTACTATGAATTTAGGCATTGTTCTCTATTCCATGCTGGACCCATTTGGTTTTGGCCTTGTGACTAGTCATATGGCCTTAGTGCTGTATTTGGTTTTTTCTGTAATGGTTTATTGATTATTATGAATGTATAGAAAGTAATAGTGATATGTGGGCTACATATCTGCTTGTCAGTACAGTCAAGTGTCCTAGCATGTCACCAAATTTTGGATATTCCGAGTGAAAAAAATCTGGGGTTGGCTGCAGAACCAGTCTTTGATAGCATCTCGGATCTTGGAATCATTAGCATACCTGTGACCCTTGAGCTTTTTTGGTGGTCTGAAGATGTAGTTGTGTGGGCTTTTTGATTAAAGCACTATAAGGGTGCCACTTTAGGATTTTGCTTAGATCTGTAATTATATGGTTATATGGTGTGAAGAAGAGGATCCTGCATATCTGGATTAAATCGGGAATCTTAAACCCATGTCTCTCAGAGTGGTATGTTGACATACAAGTCAGATCAACATATAAATTGACCTCAAAAGTGTATTTGTTGATACTGTGAACACACTGTATGCAATTACTTCCACATATTCACTGTATGTATTGAGGTATTTGTCCCAATGTTACAGAAGGAATGTATATTTCACGCATGAACTCCAGGTCTTACTTACAGAACCACTTTCAGGCCACATTGTTTACATCAACATTTAATGAAAATCCTCCATTCTGGATATCTCTTCACAGGGTGCCAAATGGATGATAGTTGCTGAGCCACCCGCCACCCGTGCCACTGTTTTACCTTGAGAAATTATCACACTGATTAGCGATTCTCTATTGGCGGTTCATCTTTGTGTGAAATAAACATTAATTGTTAGATGACTGGTCTAATATTGATTTTAGTTTTGTAATTTATTTCAATAGATATTTTCCTTTCTTTCCAGGTGCAGATATGGATGTCTGCTTAAACAATTACGGTCACTGTAATTTCGTCTCCGCCAAACACGCATGTATATTTTACGACGAGGTGAGAAAAATGTTCAGACGACATTCGTTACCCAGAATAACGACAAACATATAAAATTTATTTTATCAATTTTTAGATTACGAAACATTATGAGCTTCTAAATTACAGCGAGCACGGAACCACTGTAGATAACGTATTGTATTCCTGTGATTTTTCCGAGAAGCACAAACCCTCCTCGTCTCCCAATTCTCCGGTTGCCTCGGTTCGGCACCTGACCGAAAAGGCCAGAGAGAAGAAAGAATTCGGTTCTACAGAAAGAGCGACGATGAATGGCCGTGCCGGAGAAGTGAGGATGTTTAATTTTATTATTGCATTTGTCATTTCGATCGTTACTAATACTTTATTTTCATTTCAGTCGTGGAAACCTTGCAACTGTAAAGCGAGCAGCTCAAGCCTGATAGGCGGTAGTGGAGCGGGGTGGGAAGGAACGGCACTGTTGCATCATGGAAGCTATGTAAAGTGCGGATGCCTACAGTTTGTATTTACCATAATCGATTACGGCATTAAACCGAACTCAGTTAACGGCAATCAAAAGAGCAGCACCGTGCCCTCTTCAAGTAATTCGTTATCTTAAGGATAAATTCCTTTTTTAAATTTCCAAGTAACTCTGTATATACGGAATGCATTTTTTTGTGACTCGCAGCACAAAAACTCGATCGTCTCACACTGCGACAAGACATTTTCATTGTTTTTTGTTTTTTTTTTTTTTTGTTTTTTTTAACCCTCAGAATGGCCAAAATGAAGAAGGGATTACTCATGTGCAAAGTGATTCGTACAAAAACACAAATCATTCCTCCGTTCGGTTAAAATGATTCGAGTTGGAGTATGTTCTTTTCATCAATAACGAAGGAACATAAAGCTGCAGTTTCAACGCTCGCAGGCTTCACATGGATGATCTTGCCATTTCACTGTTTATAGTGTATACTGAATTGCGAAAAGACTGTACATTTTGTACATGTTTGGAGCACAAATCATTGTCTAAAAAACATCATACACTTTCAATGTAATATTTCTGTGTACGTTCACGTGCTTTAGAAATCAAGGAAAAAATATCTGTGTGCATTTTAAATCCCCGTTTTTATTCATGTGAAACATGATGTGTTGATATAGTTACATCAGGATGTTGTTGCATGTATCTATAAACAGTATAATTCTATATCCCCCTTTATCATGTAGTTCTAATTTTGTTTTTTTCTCATTTCGTCATTATACAGGAAGTTTTCCTATAATTATTACATTTTTAAGAAAACGACGGAAAACGAGGTGTAATTAAAATTAATAATAATAATTTTAAACTAACTTTTTACTTTTGACAGGTCTTTAAAACACACTACAGTTTTGTATCAGCGTAAATATACCAACGATAGTTGAGTATATTATTTACAATAAAAGTTAGTTGTTAAATTTATTGTATCGATCTTTAGCGGAGTTACTGAGGTGTAATCGTTGAGATAAGGTTCCGATCGAAGAGTACAGGCTACAGTTTAATTTATTTATTTACGCTTCCTGCCTTGTTGCACCATTTAGTTTGCCTGAAATGGTACATTCGCTTGAAATACATTTTTTAAATTATTATTTTCGTGAAAAAAGATCAAAATCCGTATGCCAAAATGCCCGGAATTGAGTTTTGCGACGAGAAAGTTCTGTAACGGCGAGGTTTTATTTGAAGAAATTTCAGTCGTAATCACAAACGCAACACAGGTTTTTAGAATTTCGGAGATTTGCGGTGGTTTACGGACTGCCAAATCCCCAAGATAATTACGATTGTTTTACTTGTGGCATATGTTTCGGTATGGTGTCGATACTTAGAGTTCAATAATAATAATTAATTAAGCAATTGTAATATTAAATATGAAGACTTTAATGTACATAATGAGTTTGATCCTTTTTTTTATTTTCTAATAAAAAAAAATACATTTTAAAAATTTTAATTGTTCGTATATAATATTCGTAATCGAGAGTATAGTAATAAATTCACCCGTTACAGGTATGCGCTACGTAATAATGGGCCGCACATACGAGAGAAATCCTATAAACCTATAATAGTGCTGAAAATTTTGTAACCACCTGTATCTTGTCTATGTTTAGGTATGTAAATACTTACCATTGTTTTATATATATAGCCTATACAAGAATTAGACCTATCATATAAAATATGTGTGTGATTTCTTCGCTTAAAGACGTCCCTGTTGTTAAGTAGCACATACCTTATGTTAACTATAGAAATGATGGATTGCTATAGTTAATGTGTTGGCATCTCTCTTGTGATAATACTAGATTATAGAATCAGTTGTCACCTTAAATTACATTACAAATGTATAGAGCAAAAAGATCAGGTCTTGTGTCCTCTTCAAATCTTGTAGCAGAGCTCATTTGAATTGATGGCTAAATGGCCAAGGTGGTTTAAGGCGTCGGCCTGCCACTCTGAAGGATCTAGGATTGGATATGGGCAAGCAGCTTTGAGGAATTTTTTATGGGTGGTAAGTTCCAGATGTGTTGGGCTTTGCCACAATGGAGAGTCACCCAGTCTCCACTGTGCCCTTCTGGGTCTGGCCGAACTCACAGTGGGCAGGGAAAGAAAGCTGTGATGTCGTCATTATTAACATTCAGACTGAGAGAGCATCATTTTTGAGTCAAAATTCATTTTATACACTGAATTCTCAGTGTATTTCTGCCTACCAATGACTGAGTGAATAAAACTGACAATTTTGTCTGTCCTCCGTCTCGAGTGACTTTCTTGATATAGCCTGGTCCGAGATGTTTCAAATGTACATTAGGTTTATAGGAAATAAACCTCCACATTCAACTTGTTTGATACATGTTTATATACAAAAGAAGACAGTTTATTATGGTACCATACCATACCGATTGACATAGCAACTACCAAGGGCAAGTTAGAATAATTGGGGATGTCCACTCATTAATTTCCATACCGTGGAAAAGCTCTATCTGCACTTTCATCCAATCTCAGACCACCCATGCCCGAGTGTCCCTTCCGTAAGAGTGTAGCCTCTCTCTATCCTCTGTGAACTTGCCAAATATTTGAGTTATAAGTGCTGTCAGTACGGAGCCTATCCTCACCCCTATTCTCCGATCTATCCCAATTTAAAGGTTTTTTGGGAGCCAACTTCTGACTAATTAGAAGGACTGTCACATACTTTCCTTTATGTCCATGCCAACCCGAGTATGGGTAGTCATCCTGCCCTTAATGTGCTTGTTCAGTTGCTGTTCATGTATCACGGCAAATAATTTTACAACTGGACCGCACCCAGATCCAATTCAACTAATCACAAATTGCTTTGTTTTTCTCCCAAACTAATACTTTAGAAAAACCATGAAAGCACCACACTGCTAATTAGTTGTGTGCTTATCACTGGGCTGGTCACAAAGTTTTCTGCGTTTTCTTTAAATGTCTAACACCTAAATAGGGACCATTTTCCCATTTTCTCCCAGGAGACATCCTTTTGGCAGATCATCCACGTCACATTGCCATATATAAACCCAAAATCTTTGTCCATAAAAGTGTTGTGCACTCACGGACTTCCTGGACATACAGGGCAGTTGCAGTCTCAGAGCACTGAAGTATCCTACAATAGCCTGACACTTAACGTTATTTTAGTATGATAGTCCTAATAATGGCCAATGCTTGAATTCTATTTTTCATTTTTTATGCTGCCCTTGGGCACTAAGAAACATTTCATATTCATTATGGGTTTGGCCAAATTCACAGTGAGGGATGGGGGACCATGAAAAATTCCTAGGGATTTTCAAATTGATTAAAAACATCTGAGGTTTTTAATGTTGATGGGCGAATTGGCGTAATCTCTGGGGATCCGGGTAGTTAAAAAACCTAAAGGAATTTTTATGGGTAATGTAGAGGAGTCGTGTCACATCTCGAGAGGGGTTGGACTTAATGAACTTATTATTCGTAATTAGCATTTACAATTTTTTTTATGAAACTCATCCCTACCCTTGAAATTAAGTCTTGCTATTTTATAATATTTGAAAAATATATAAAAACGTTTATAACAATATCTCGTAACAGATGGCGCCATATGCACTTTTATTTATTATGATTAAAAATATAATGTAAAAGTTATTTTTTAGGAGCCGAGAAAGTTACGCTGTTCGTTGCTGGACGAGGGTCAGGGGATAGATTTTGAGGAACAGGTTCTCGGGTTATTTCATTACGAATACGCATGATATGCAAATGAATGGAGGCGAGGATTGTTCGAATTTGTGCGTATCGATGTAGGCCGATGATGCTGTTCTTTGCATTAATAAAGCATTTGACATGTCATTTTACTTTCCCGGCTCTGTTAACTCCCATATCTTTTATAAATTAAAAACTTATTTTGCTGTCTAATTTAAAATATATGCTTGCCACCTCAATTATAGGTGTCTTGTTCCTGCACATCACATTTTTCCTGATGATAACAGAGTCGTGCCGGTCATCTACGTAATTCCATTCCGGGAAAATTCTTAAATTAAAATCACGTGAATTCCGTTCTAGATCGGAAGTCACGTATATAATTAATCGTACACGTGACTTCCGATTGCCCGTGGCAATAGCGACGTAGGCGGAGAGTAAAGTAATCTCGACCACACCACGCGAAAAAAGGAATACAAAATAAGCGATTTAATCGAAATTAGCTAACATATATAGCGTCGAAGCGTTAAAATATCCGTTTTTATTAATTTTTTTAAAAATATTTATTTAAATACAATTGATAAATCGATAATAACGAGGAAAATCGGTCGCGGATAAGATTAAATATTTACATATTTCAATCACCGGTAGAGGGCCAGTAAGGAAAGCAAGATGGCGATGTCGGGTCGCGAGATACGGAACACTAATCCATTCTACACCGAAGATGAGGAAGATGTCGACGATTTCGAGTTTCTAAGTCATCCGAAACACGGTAAAACGGGCTACATCCTACGGGGAAACGACGATAATGTTAATACGGACTGGGAACAGCGCCGTATGCAACTACTGGACGAGAAACGTCAGATCGAAGAGAGAACACTTCAAGGTACCAAATTCTCTCTCGGATTGCTTCACGAATCCGAACAAGTAGGATTCGCCACAGCAGATGTGAGTTTATATTTAATTTTTATTAGCGAAAGAAGCAATTTTCTATAAATTTTTTATAAGTTTCCGAAACCTCGCGTCAGATGGCGCTTCGTCGTTATCTTTTGCAATTCCCGTCGACATCCCGTCTTTGCACACTTCCTAATAGTGTTATTCGTTCCAGTAATTAAACACTGTTCGGAAACTGAATTCTGTTCGGAAACGGAAAATGAAAAGAATTAATTAAGTCGTTTCTTAAAATTTCTGAATCATACGCGGTCCAAATAATGTTGCAAGACAGTTGGCAGTATTAATTTATTTAAATGCATCATCATGTCAATAGATGATAAATGTTTGTTCAGCATCACCTCCATTGTTAATTGTTATGTAAATTTATTTAAGCCAATAGGAACAACATAAACTGTGCCTTTGTTCGTCTTCGGTATGCAAATATTGGGCCGGTAATCGTACAAATCTGTTTTTGACCAGTCAAGTTTATTTTACTGGAGTGTTTTCGCACAAGTAAATGTAAATGTGAAGCACTCCGGAGCGGCTTTAAGTGTACCGAACCTGGGCTTGCAGTTTTGGGGCTTTGGACGTATAACTGTCGATTCTCGATCTTGTTTGATGTATGGAAATGTTACGGGCCCACAGAGTAAATAAAAATCACCAAATGCCGGTAGTCGATTGAGGGTTTATGCCTCGCCAGCAGTAACTTTTACTTCGTATTAGTAACACCTAAATGGGGGCCATTTTCCCGTAAAAGTCCTCCCGGGAGGCATTTCCCTCGGCAGATTGTATCTTGCGTTGCTGTAATCGAATAAACCGACTAAACCGAAGAGGCATCGTGATAATCTACTTGTAAGGGCCTCCGTGACCTGAAAGTATCACTAGAAATGATTCGTAATAAGATCAATTATGTAAATTAAAATTGAGTAAAGTGATAACTTCAAATGAACGGAACTAAGTGTGCAACGGTTTGGCATAAAGTAACAATTAAGTAATTGTTTTTCCTGTTGTGTAATTTAAGGAAGTGTACAGGCCTTTAATTTTAATGTAGTTTATATTTTTCTCTAAAAGGGCCTTAAAAATGCAAGGCCTGACAAAAGCCTAGATAAACTGTGCCTTACATTGTCATCATTATACAGGCATTATTGAAATTTAAATAATAATAATAATTCGTATAATTCAAATATATACCTCCCTCCATCCGAATTATTCTTGAATTTAATTTTCAAAACAGATCTGTCTGTCCAGATTGGTAATTGGGTCAGTTACTAATTAAGCCCAATCGTTGGTAAGCTTATGTCGAATTGACCTCGGGTATTCGGGGAATGAATTCTCGAGCAGATCGAAGTTGACGTGTATCGTCAGTGATTAGTGTTTAAGATGTTTTCTGCTTTGTATTATGCTAAATACAAAAAATGTTTTGATGCCCCATTAATTTAGATAAAGTGGTATCGTGTTTAATTAAATAAATTAGACGTAAAAAAAATCCATTGACGATCGACAAGTATTAAAATGTTTATCAGCTCATAAGACGCAAAAACTATCAGTGAAATGAATTTAAAAAGCAAAATTATGATAGAAAGACGAGAGATAAATTGCATGGAAACAGTTTATTAAGACTGGTTGTCAATTAAATTAATGTAGATGTCATCCTCATTTAAAACTTTAAATGGACGTAGGTTCATGTCGACGGCCTTGAAACTTGTCGAAGATTATGTCATAAGTCACCGATGGCGTAACCCTTACTTTACTTCCCTTCCTTTGCTTAATTGTTTTTAAATTGCTTGTTTTAGGAACTGATGAGGCAGAGGGAACAATTGACAAATGTAGAAGATAAGGTTGACGAAATAAATAGCACCATGAGAATAAGTCAAAAACATTTAAATTCGATGAAGGTACGAAAGAAATGATGATAAAATGAATTTTTGTCATCGATAGCATGTTAACAAATTCAATTTCTAGAGTATCTTCGGAGGGATCAAGAGTTACTTTAGTCGCAGCAACAGTAACACCACCCTTCCGACCAAGACGCTCCAGGAGGAGCCGTTGGCGCAGCCCTGTCCCCTCCAGACGACCGTTGAGAAAATAAGAGGAGACAGCGGCTTCGAGAGTCGAGAGCACCACCCCGCGCTAGCCGCCAGAGGTATCGATTATGGCCCGACCTCACCGGACGACAGACTCCGCGATCCCGGTTACGACGACTTCTCGGAGAGAGTGGAGCAGCAGATCAACAGTAACATAGGTAAGCAAGCAAAACTTTTTGACTAAAACAGTTTCGTAAAGCATTATTCTGACAATCGGCACGTCGATTCTATGCTAGACCAGATGAGCCTGGGACTGGGGCGCCTGAAGAGCCTGGCCATTGGCCTGGGAGATGAAATCGAGGAGCAGAACAGCATGCTGGATCGCATCACCGGAAAGGTGGAGAAGTCTGACGAGACTCTAGAATATCAGAACCGGCAGATGCGACGAATTTTAAAAAAGTAGTTGTCGTCGTCAGATCTCGGAATCAAAATTTATTTATCCGTCTCCTCAATTAGTCGATTTGGAGGCAAAAATTTTTGGCCGATGCAATGTTTTCCTATGATTATTATTATTATTATTTATTGCAGGTTCTACTTGATTTTTAATGCATGTGTGTAAAAATTTTGTTTGTAAATTCTGTAAATTATGAAAAAATTATTGAATTAAAACTTTTAAAACTTTATATATATACAGAAACCCCAACGTTCTAACTCAAATTATATTTTGCGATAATTTAAGTTTTGTATCATAACAATTATGTACATTTTGTAATAAAAAGTTTTGAAAATAATCTGTTTAGAACCATTCAAATCGGCACACTAAAAATATTTACCCATGCTACCCCCGACAAGAGTATTGTTCATTGTCCTCCAGTAAGCCACTCATGCGATGCTCATCATCAATGCATGGCCACTAGCATATTAAAATAATATAACTTTTCTGTTAAGACCCATAGTCCCATATAAGAATTGGGAAAGCTTAAATCATATGATGATAAAACCGTCGACCCCAAGAGGGTTGAAACAGGTTTATCCGTACGGCTAGTATCGTCGGTGTTGTGTGTACAACAAAGTGGTGAAGTGCAACAGTGATTCTGGATGTCGTTCGGGAAGTTCCAGGCTCGAGTATTCGTGCACTGGTGTGTCGGAATTCGGCATCCACCATCACGAGAAAAGAATGTCTTGTGTTTGTAAACACTCCAGACAAACTTGCCGAGGCTCAAGCACAACAATGCATTTATGTTTGAAAACAATTTATCCAAAATCCTAGATATTATTTCTGGAAATGAGAAATGGGTGTACGTACGTAATGCAAACAGCAAGTTGCACCAGATTTAAAGGCTTTACTGTGCATAAAATGGGAGATTTTCTAGGTTTGGGTGTGTTATTTGTTTTGAGTTTCCACTTGGAGCATGCAATGGATGGAAAGCTTTACAATAGCCAATTGAAGCACATCTATGACACACTGCAAAGAAAACACCCCTCTTCAATTGACTGAAAGTGAGTTTCATTGTTGCATGATAACACTGGTTTATTAGTGCAGATGCCACACTAAGCCAAAACTATGGATGCTTTTACCGTATCATTCCACTAGATGTATAGCCCGACATTGAATCCTCCAGTTACGGAAGTAGACATTAATGGGGCCCACCACAAGTTTTTTTTTGTTTCCGAGACCAAAGATGGACATTGTTGTCAGCAAATCAGTCTAATGAGCCGGCAGATGGGTAAGCATGTATATTTTGCCAAATAAATTTAATTTCCATTCTACATAGTTTACTGTTCTAATCGTAATGTTATGTAGCAGAACTTAGCCTGGTATTTTCTCACTGCCAATGTCTCATATCATTGTTTTAAAATGTTTTTCACTTATCAAAACATCTGGTTTAACTGTGAGAAACATACAGATGTTAATTATTTATGTAACGTGTTATCAATAGAGTAATGTTAGAGTCTACGTCACTGTTAGATAATTATTTTAATTGAAGATGTTAGTAATACGTCTTTTACTTTATCATTTGGCTATCAATTGCAAAGAAACAGAAAAAATCCATATTATGAATGTTCAATGTGTAGCCCTGGAATGGCAGACAGACATCTTTTAAACATACACTTCTCTAATGTTTGCCACAATGAATCTCGATATTTATAGAACTACAATTGATAAAAGAAAAGGCAAACCTGATGTAAGCATAATTTATTAACATGTATAACTCAAATATTCTTTTAAGTACTTTACAATCATAGGAAACAATATCTTATAAGTCAACGTTTTGTGAGATGATTTAGTTATCACGTTTATCTTAAAAACTAAAATCTCGTAATATACAACTGACGATAATTCGATTTGTTACGTAGCTCGTGCGGCGCGTACGTTAAGTACGGCTACGCCGTCAAACATCTCGGCTCGGCCCAGCGTGAGCGGATGGTTTTAATTTTTTGTCGTGAAAACAACTTGCAACAATCGAAGCTCGATTACAACAGACCCGACTGGCCGAAGGGTATTTTGTAAATGGTTACTTAGTAAGGCGAATTGGCAAAACGTACCTTTAAAATCGCTATTAATTTGCTTTTTTTAGAAACTATAAAAAAACTAACCCTCTTAACAAACTGACAACTACAGTAGCAACGATTGGCCTAGTTTAAAAATGTTTAAAGTTCGGACTTTTCCACCGTGAGGCGTCAAAACGTCTCGTTGTCGTCGCAGTCCGATGTCCAGTGCCCGAATACTTCGCAGATGTCGCAGTATGGCCTCTCCTCGTGTCTCTTACCATGATGCTTGGAATGGGCGTTGTCGTCTTCGGTGGAAGCCTGACGCGGACAGTCTTCCGTGTCGTGCAAGTCAAACATGTCACATATGTCGCAGAAAAGTCGAGGTTTGACGATCCCCTTGACTCCGTTCCTAAATTTAGAAAGGTTAGTCTTTGTACTGTACCAGAAATAATTTAATTGCATTTCCACAAAAACTTACAAGTTCAAATCGCTGCCATCATATATTTCTCCTGTTTCAAGTATTTGTATCCTGGCAGTCAACTCGTCATTTTTCTTCTGCATGTCTACTATGACAGAATTGAGAAATTCGATCTGGAAATTATTAAATTTAGAAAATAAAACAAATGCAAACATTAAAAAAAAAAGTGAAATGTATCCGAATAAAATTACTTGACTTTCGAACGTTTCTTTCTCTTCTTTAATTTTATCATATCCCAAATCTAGAAGATCAGACAAAATTTAATGCCAAAATAACATAATTAGCAAAAATTTACAAACATTATACCTGTCGTATTAGAATTTACTTGAGAATGAGCCAGAGCCACTTGTAACTCTACGATCTTGTTTTCTAATAATTTTTTCTCTTGTTCTGCAGCTTCCACTAAAGATTTATAATTGAGCAATTTACTGTCATCGTTTCTAAGAGCAATTAACTGTCCACAAAATATAAAGTTAATTAATTAAAATCGTACTATTTTTTCAAAAGCAAACAAATCGTAAGCATCAAAAATAAACTACCTTTTGATTCTGTTGATAAATGTCTTCCTCTTTCTGTTTTATGAGCGTCTGCATTTGATTTACGGTTTTCTGTAGCATTTCCTGTTCACTTTCAAAAGAATGGCGTAATTTTGTTTCCCTAGGTAAATTAATAAGAATTTCCATTGGCATTTTAAAAACATTTGTGTATGTAGCAGTGTTTTAGTATTAAAAAAAATCTATCTAAAATGAGAAATGTTCATACCATTTATCAAATCCAAATTTTTAATAAGTGTGCACAAGAAGCAAAAGGACTTAATGTGATTTAAATAAGTCCAAAATAAACAAAAATTCAATTGTTTTAATGTATTTTTAAATACATCAGAGCTAGAGTTACCTTTCTTTCTGTTCTTCTAACAGCCTTTGTAGCTCCGTAGTTTTGTTTTCTAACTAAAAACATTTATAAAACTGTTTAATTAGTTCATTTAAAGCCTACGACAGATGAGAATAGACAAACCTACCTCTTCCTTTTCTTGCTTAACAATTTTAAGCATGTTCACTTGACTTGCTAATTCTTTGCGTTCATTTTCGACCTTCATTAATTTGTTTCTAGTTTCCTCTAACAGGTTTCTTTCCAATTCCCTTTAGCAACCAAACTTGTCAATTTAAGTGTTTTAAATTCATTTTAACATAAATTTTTAATAAAACAAACAATTACATCTGCTTGTGGAGATCCTCCATAGCCTTCGCTTCTAGCTGATTCTCGGCCAACTTAGACATGAGTTCCTCTTTGTGACGTGTAAACTCCGACTGTAGCCTTCCCACTTCTTCTCTCAGTACGGATACTTGCGTTTCTTTTTCTATCATTGCAGCATGATGATCCATTTTCAGCTTTGATAGATTATCACACTCTGCTTTTAACTGGGTGTTAAGTTTTTCTTTGGATTTTAGTTCTTGCACTAGCTGTTATGTAAATGCATTATTATAGAAGAAGAATACTATAAGGCTAGACTACAAAAGAAATTTTACCTCTTCCTTCTCCATCATAAATTTATCTCGTTCCACTTGTAAATGAGAGATTCGAGTCTCGAGGCTTTCGCGATTCAGAGAGTCTTCGTTTGTTTTATGTTCCAGTTTCATCTTCAGGTCATTCAACTGAACGTTCAGATCAGTGACCGAGCTTTCCAACTGGTGTGCTTCTTTTTGCAGTCTTGAGATCTCTAAATCTTTCGAAGAATTCAATAATTCCTTGTCATTAATTGTATTTGTAAGAGTTTTAATCTTTTCTTGTGATATTTTATAGTCTTCTTCCTATGAAATTAAAATAATTGTCTCAAAATGTATATTTTTTTTTATCATCATCACGGTAAACAATTTTCTACCTTATCGTCCAATTTCTTTTCTAATCGAGCTTTCTCATCGGCATGAGTTTCGGTGAGTCGTCTTGTCTCTTCTAACTGTTTTCGTTGCAAATGTTGGATCTCGCTGGAGCATTTCTCGTTTTCTTGCGTCATTTTTTGAAGTTCCTTCTTAAGTTCTTCTAATTTACTGCAAAGTTCAAATTAAATGAAACTCATGCTTCAATCATATTCTTTACTGAATTAGACATCATTACAGAAGACCAAACAAACAGGAAAGCCAAACAAAGAAAGTATAATTTAAACATTTTTAGTGGTTAAATGGAAGATCAGTTCACATCATATGATTAGCAAGCAACATATCAAATATTGATGACACATTAAGTGACAATGTAACATGTTAATAATTTAAAATTTGAAAAAAGTAAGAAAGTAGAGTATCCTTAAGCTTTAATTATGCAAAATTTAAGCAAATAAACAATTATAGGCTGAATGGCTGGTAAGAAACCATGCCTAGGCGGGAAAGTGCTTGGGTTTAAAATACGATAGAACCCCAATTATCCACGGCAAACCAGCAAGTATAATAGACTACTTTTCTTATAATTCATGAGAGCTTTGCCATGAATGTACAGTACATGCAAGTCACTCATTCCTCTCCTACTGCACACCCTGTCTATTCAGCTATGGTTGGCCTATCAGTACATTTTAATAATTTTTGTCTTTTTGTAATGGGAAAAGAAAGCTTATCGTGCTATCCTTAAATGGGATGGTGGCGGCATTTTGAATTAATCTGGCGTAGCATCGGTCCACGTTAGCTCGGATAATTGGGGTTCTCTCATATCTCTCTTCCACAGAAGTACACCATACAGAAAATTCGGGAATAAATGTCTGTGGCCAAAAAAGATTACGATATACAAATTTTTTAAATAAGCTTTTCATTTGTTTTGATTATTAATCTGAACTGCACCATTCATAAACAAGTAATTGTAAATAAATAAAGAATAGTATTAAAAAAAATCACTTTTACTGAACATATTTTTTGAGATTAGAGCTGGGTCCGCTCCACCATATACATCATTGCAATGCATTCATACACACACAACCAAATGTACAATTTAATCATGCATGTTTATCAGGATTTTGGTGGATGGCCCCACTCCGAAATCCTGATAAACAAACTTTGAAGCCATGATACAAAGGAAGTAAAATAATGATTTCATACCATGCAATTATATATTAATATAGTGTCTTATCATTGTATTTAACTCTGCATGCATTTGAATTGATACTTATCTAACTTTCAAAATTTAAAATCCAACCAAATATTTTAAGATATTTAATTATACGATAAAATTAATATAAAGAATTACTAATCAGACAAACTTCAAAGAATGATTGATTAATTAATCATATTTTTGAATTTCGCATCATGAGCAGATTATATAACTTTTGATTGGACGTCAAAGTTTAGACTATGTCTCTATTAACTTTACTATTACTCAAATAACATAATTTTAACATGAGTAGATTTGAATCTGAAATAATATTTAATACATAATTTAATTGATTTATAACTTTACTCTGACATGAACAATTAATCACCAAATATTAATTAAGTTACAATTATTAATTTTGAAATTTCCAATATAATTAGACCAGTTTTATTTTTAAAATAAGATAAATAATATCAATGTTATCAAAATTTTAAAAAATACAATGATGATTGATATCATTAAAATAATATAAATTTTAATGACAACTTCAAAAAAATTCACTTGTAGACTTTTTGATAAATGGCACAGTTAAAAATAATAATATGCAAGAGCAAATATGGGGTAAGCTTTTTGATATATGATGTACTGTACATATGAATGACAAAACTTCTAGTTAAAAAAGCAATATGAAGCAAGCCCCTAACAAATACTCAAATGGACATGTCACTGGTGTAAGTACTGTACCTATATTGGTTTAAGTTTTAATCATAATTTTATAATAAAAATTTTGATCACCCAAGGCAAAAACATTCTTACTTATCCTAAATGTATTTTTTATGAATAAATTTTAAAAAAGTACGTAAACAATTTATTTGTTATTGATTTATCCGATACATTAAAAATACAGAACAAATTTATGTTTATTGATATAAACTTTAATTTGTAAAAGCAAATCTTTGCTTCTCTACTCAAATATAATATTTTGAACGTTGAATAAGAGCAGTTTTGACTTTAGTTGTCTAATATTCATTCTCTATATGGAGAACTTCAGATGCAAAAACTGACAACTATAATACACAAATTTAGAAATAATTTTGTCTTAAAACTTTGGCCAAAATATTTTCACTAGTTTTAAACTTATTTTTTTTTTACTTTAACTGCTTAAATATTTAGCAGTTAATTTGGAACAACTAGTATATACAGTGTTTCATAATTATAAACGCACCCAACTTTTTTCAATAACAAAAACATTAACAATAGTAATGTATTTATTATATTAGTATATTGTTTACAACGTCAATTTAAACATTTTCTGAAATTTTTAGAGCTATCTGACAATTACAAAAAACAAATTATCACAGATTTTCAATTTTTGATTGTTTCAAAAGTATAAACACAGGTGCATAAATTAGCATGATAAAATTAATAATTAATTTTTAAAATTAATTATTGGTTTAATTAGTTACCAGAAAGTAGTATCATTCATTATTATAAATGTGGTGCCAATTTTAAGCAGTTATTTGAGATTTAAAACAATGCCTCATGGAAAAACACTAACAGAGTTGGAAATATGTGAAATTTACCAACTAAAAGGAACAGGACAATCTCTAAGACAAATTTTGGCAGCTGTGAGAAATGTGTTAACTCAGGGTAAAAATTATGGCAGAAATAAGTGATGTGGAAGGCCTTACAACTAGAAAAAGTTTTTCGGCTACCAACAGTCAACAAATTGTCTGTCAGAGAAGCAGCATCAACATTGCCAGTTGCAGTTGCAGTTTCACCAGCAACTGAATGCAGATACATAATCATAAAAACGGTTGACAAATCGAAATGAACACAATTGATTAAAACAGCTAGATTAAGTAAGCCAAAGACAAGAAGGCATGGAAAGAGGAGTGAAAACAAAATAGTTTTTTCTGATGAAAAAAGTGGAATTTGGATGGACCTGACAGTTATAGTCACTACTGGCATGATTTGAGGAAGAATGAAGTCAGAATGAAAAGACAATAAGGTGATGATGGGGGGTAAAACAGACATAGTATTTATAGAAGATGGAATGAATTCAGAAAAGTATCAAAATTTAATAACTTTTGGATCACTTACTGGGCAAAAAAAACCTGGCAATTTGAACAGGATAATGTTGCCATTCATGCATCAAAGTCAATTAAAAATTGGTTTGCTAACAAAATATTAATGTAATTGAATGGCCATCATGGAGCCCTGATAGAGAACGTTTGGAGCATTATGAGTCATCTTGTTGGCCAAAACAGACAATACAACATTGTAAGTGAACTGAAATTAGCTATCGTGGATTGTTGGAAAAATATTAAATAACATCAACTTCAAAAACTAGTAAAATGTATATCTGACGAGTATTTGATTTAATTAAATCAAGTGGTGGACTTACGTAATATTGAGACAGTACGTTCCACAAAACCCACAATCAAAAGTTCATCAATTTATTAAATAGAAAATGTACTTACTCTTTTTTCTTATTCAGTTCATTCTTAAGAGATGTTAACTCTTCCGATCCGGCTGTTGATAACTTTTTCAACTCTGAAACTTGCTCTTCCAATTTGGATTTTGCTTCTTCTAAGCAAGTACATTTCTCTATGCTAGCTTTCAATTGATTTTCAGTATCTACAGAATATAATTTGTAATCAATAATTCTTTTCATATTTCTAATTTATAAATAATAAATTTTATACGTATATATACAATACCCTGCGTCTTTGCTTTATATGAAGAGAGTTCTTCATTTAGAGCAGACGAAGAAGACTGAAGTTTCTTTATTTGTTCTTCTTGATCTGGGACAAATTTTAAAGTATGTTAATTTAAAATAAAATTTATACAAGGCTTAATGTTAATAGCACTCACCACTGATTGTTTCTTGAAATTTTTGCTGTTTCTGTTTACTCTGTTGCAATTCCTCTTCCTAAACAGTTATTATCATATAAATCTATTCAAACAAATTAATAATACAGTTTTTATTTAAAAATGCACTCACCGCATTGCTCAACGTTCTTCGTAGACTCTGTACTTCTTTCTTGTGATTATCAATTACTGCTTCCGTTTCCTTCTCGTGATCCTTTCTAACCTGTTCAATGGTATCTTTCAGTTTTCCATTTTCTTGTTTAAACTTCTGCACTTGCGATTTGATGTCCTCCAATTGTCTGTAAATTGAAATATGTCATTTAAATATTTTTCCATCTTTTATCAAAATACAAAAACTTATTTAAAATAAAATTCATTTTGTTTTATTTCAATAAAATATTACCTTTCTTTTTCACGAATTTCTTCATTCATCTTTGTTAGTCTTTCAGAATTGCTTCCAGATGATTTCATGAACTCTGCCACTTCTTCTTCAAGTTGTACTTTCCTTTTTGTCAAGTCTTTTGTCTTTTCTTCACTTGCTCTCAACTGTCTTTCTAAATCTTTAATAATTAAACAAATATTTTTAGCATAAAATTTAAAAATTTTCTGTGAAAAGTATTATATTTAATAACCTGCAGATTTTAGACTAATGGAATTAAATTCCTTTTTCAGATCAGAAGATAATTTTTCAGAATTTTTCAACTTTGTGTTAAGTTCTGGAATAAATTAAATTTAATATACTTAGTAGACATTATAATATAATTTTATTTTTTTTGCAAATCTGAAAAATACTGTTTTACCTTCTATCATCTTATCATTTGCTTCATCTCTCTGCTTGATTTGCTGCAATATTTCCTCCTAAAGAAAGACAAATGCACTTGTTAATATTCTACATACATTTTGAGCAAGTTATAAACTTATCTATCTATTATTATGGCAAAAAATTAATTATTTACTGTATTCAAAAGTTGTATTTGAACTTCTTGCAAATCTTTTTTATGTTTATCATTCAACTGTTCTATCTCCCGAGCCTTTTCTTTCTTGATCTCTTCAACTAGATCATTTTGTTTTTGATATTCTTCAGTTGCCTTTTCTAATTGTCCTCTTAATGTTTCTAAATATCTAAATTTCTTTGTAAGTCATGAAGTAAAAAAACCAACTAAGTAAAATTACAGAAAAATTGCAGAATTACTTCTCTTTCTCTCTAAGTTCTTTATTAAGTCGAGTCAGCTGCTCGGAGCTGTTTCCAGAAGATTTCGTTAGTTCTTTCATTTGTTCTTCTAATTTTGCTTTTTGTTTAGATAAGTCTTCGTTCTTTTCCTCATTTGCTCGTAACTGTCTCTCAATATCTGCAATCAAATATTCAGAATTTTCATTTAAATACACACTCACTATATATTATTAAAAATAAGATCAATTTACCAGCAGAATGTAATTTTAAATTATGAAGTTCTTCGTTAAGTTCAGATGATGATTTTTCAGATTTTCTTAGCTTGATGTTTAAATCTGAGAAAAATAAAATTATTGTACATTAATCTAAAATAACACAATTAAGTAAAACAATGTTACAACTTACCATCTATAACATCCAAATGTTTTTGTTGCTTTTGTTTACTTTGTTCTAATTCTTCTTCCTATAAAAAGTTTTAAAATTCATCTAACTGAAGATACATTCCAAATAAACTAGAACACTCTCAGTTTTCAAATATAAACTATAAAAGCAATTTATACAACATACCATTTCAGATATCCGTTGCTGAAGACCGGAAACTTCTCTCTTTCTGCCTTCAAATGATGCTTCAAGCTGCAAAATATTTTCATCTTTGCGAACAAGATCTGCTTGTAGTTGAGAAATTCTTTCACTTTCTTGCATCTTAATAAATAATAGCTTTTAATTTTTGCATCTTTTTTTTTTTTCTAAATTTCAAAGAGTCACAAAATTACCTGACTAGATTCTAAATTTTTAACTCTTCTTTCTGCATTTTCAAGTTGCATTTTTAAAATTTCATTATCTTCTTTATACTTTTTTAGCATTTCGTCAATAGCTGCAGTCTTTAAATTTAAAATATCTAATTTAGTTTATCATGATTAATTATTTACAACAGCATTTAGCAATTATCACTTAATTAACGAGTAATTTACTTTGCTGCTAGACTCTTCAAGAATCCTTGAACTTCGTTTTTCCATTTCTAATAAGTTTTCTAACTCCTTTATCCTTTCGGCTTCTTTCAATGATTGAGCCTAAAAAAAGATTAATATACTTTAGCAACAGAAATATTAATAAAAATATATTTATCTTTAATTATAAATTCCTAATAGTCACCTCTAAATCAGCCTTCGATATGGATTCTTCTTCAATTCTAAACTGCAAATCCTCAACTTTTCTGTAAAGCATTTTCAAATAAAACATTCTAAAATATTTTAAATTTAAAACAATATGACTGTTTTCTCCATGCACAAATCTTTGATGTTTACACGTCTTCGTTTCTTACCTTCGTTCATCTTCTAACTGAGCTAATAGCTCTTTCCGTTCTTTTTCTGTAATTTCTAGGAGTTGTTTCATTTGCATTGCATTCCTTTCATAATCTTCGACAAATCTGTTGTGTTCTGATTTGAAAGACACTAACTTTTGTTCGGCCTTTATAAAAATATTAATAATTAATTCAAATAATTCTTTACATTCAAGTGTAATAACATATGTAAATACTAAGATATGTACTTCATCTGCTTGTGTTGCTGCCCTTGCCACTTCAGCTCTTTCTAAATCTCTTTCTTTCAGAAGCTGTTCTATATGTTCTTCCTTTTCTTTGAGAGCTTCCTTTGGAGTAAATAATGTTAAACTTTTACATTCTAGATATTTAAATTTCACTTACTAGTTCTAAATCCTAATCTATAATTTTGTGAGCAATTCAAAATACTTAATCTATTCAAAAGTATTTACCTGTAGAGCGGTGTTAGTTGCTGAAACATTTGTAGCTGCGCTTCTAACCGATTTCTAAATAAAAATAAATTGTAGTATCATAACAACTAGAAGGAATTTTATATATATATATAAGGAAAATGAATATATATATATATATATATAAGCTCGATTACAACAGACC